TTCTGGTGTTCTTTAGTCATGTGTGAAATGTTGGTAAAGTTGGTTTTGCCCAATTATGCATTTGCAACATAAGTTAATAATTATTTTCTTGCCGATGTGGTTTATAGACAGATCTGGGAACTTAGCAAAGTTCTTCATGATAATGTGCTTTGTTGTGAAACTTGTTTATACAAAAGTTGTAGATAATTCATGTATCTAGCTTCTATTAAAATTTGGTGTCATTTGGCCAAGTAGTTTAAGAGTTATAGTTGTTTAAAGTTGGGTTTCAGGAATGGCTGCTTTCTGTCAATTGTAGACCAGTTTCTGTAAATGAGTATATTTGACTTAGTTAACTTGAGAATCATGCTAAGATGATTAAAGATGAATTGTAGAAAATTTCATAAGCTTTCCATAATATCTTCTTGCAAGTCATTTGGATTTGTGTAACTCCAGTTATAGCTAAATCTTGTAGCTGCTGTTTGCATGTCCAGAAATTGGCAGATTCTAATTATAGTGCTTGCTTGTATATTGTTAAGTGTGACGTATGCCTTGAATGATGACTGAGTTAGAGCACTTGAGATCTGGGGAAACTTGTGTCATGATTGGTGTTGTCGTCTTCTTTGCCATCTTAGCATGATAGATTGTGTGATGTTTAAGTTAAGCATCGCAAAGTACTTAAGTGTGTTAGTGTAAACTATGCTTGTCTTGCTTGCTATTTTGTGATGTGTCTCATGGTACTATTCTTCATATTTATGCACTTGCATATTGCCTCTCATCTAGGTACGCTAGATGAACCACGTGAAGGACGTGATGTTGGAGCCAAACCCGAAGACGGTGTTTGATGGATCTGTCCCGAAGATGGAAGGACTAAGCGAGTGCTAGGATCTGAGATGTCACCAGGATGGTGCAAGCTAACTGAACTGACTTGTGTCGGATCCCAGGCAAGCCCCGGAGCATTATAAGTCTCCTAATTTATAAAAGCAATTCTTTCTATATATGAGTTATATATTGTTGCATTAAGTTGTAGGAGTTGATTGAAACCATTGATGCATTTATTACTATCCTTGCCTACCTTATTACCTTTTTACCCTGTTAGGTCAGGATCGAATAACTGCTTAGCCTTGCTTAGACCGGTAGCGATCGGTGATATCCGGTCACCTACATTATAGGTGGTTACTGGAAGAATTTAGCTATGGAAAGAATGATATCCTGGAATTAACCATGTGTGATGGATAATTGGAGACCGGACGAAAAAGTTGAAGGCAACCAGACAGGGTTCTGGGGTGCTGTTAGTTTCCGTCTGTGTCGATTAAGGACCGACCGTTGTTGGGCCTCGAGTCATGTTGAACGCATGCCTTACATTTAGCTGGCCGGATAAAGTACCTTCCGACCGCGAAGCTGGGAGATTTTTCGGGCCGAGTAGATTGCCCGCAGCGCACTGTGCCGGAACGCATGCCTTACATTTAGCTGGCCGGATAAAGTACCTTCCGACCGCGAAGCTGGGAGATTTTTCGGGCCGAGTAGATTGCCCATGACGACCGGTGGTTGGAGCAGGTGTGGTAGGACATGGGGGCGGGATGATAAGACCAAAGTGCAGTCGGTCGGCCCCCGGGTACATGTGGTTCCTGGCAAACTCGAGACACCTGAAAAGTTGACTCGGTGATTAATATCTCACTTTAGCGGGTGAGTGAGGTTTGTGTAAGGAATAAATCACCAGCTGGTTAGGAATCGATTCGAATCGCCATCGCTCCTGGATAGTGAGCACTTGACTCGAGTTACTTCATCGTAGTAATTATTATGGAACAATGATGGTTATCTGGATGATATGGGATATGCTAAATCTAAATTGGTAACTGAATGTTATTGGTTAATCAAGTGATTGCTATAGTACAGGTGCTTACCTAGATGGATAGGTTATAATAAAGATGATGCAAAGTACTTAAAATGGTTTATTCATGATAACATATGCTTTTCGCAAACGAGTCAGCTAGCCCACTAAAGAAAGCCTTGCATGATCCTTGGTGTCACTTTATTTCTGGTTTACGACGGGTAAGTCTGGCTGAGTACATTCGAGTATTCAGGGTTTATCCCACCTTGTTGCAGATTAAGTTCTCGACCTGTTGATGATGGTGGCTAACCGCCGGTGGGCTCGGTGATTCTATAGTTACTTCTCGTCTATATGCTTTTGTCGAATGATGTCACTTATACTAGCAATATATTTGGAACTTATATTAATGTAATCATTTGAAAGCTATGTTGTTTTCTCTAATCAGTTTTGAAACCCAAACTTGTACTATTATTTGTTAACCCCTTTGTAATATTATTTTCGCTGCAACCCGATGTATGTGATGTGTATTTGCTTAATCACGCGATCTTGGTTGTGATGTTGATTTACCGAGGTCTTTCGAGACACTCGGCGGACTACCGGGTTTAGATGAGTGAAAGTATGGGTGTGTCAACGTGTTAGCGGGGACAACCATACTTGATCTTGTATAAATTGGGCGGTTCTGTCACAAGAGGTGCGGCCGGCGGTGGACGAGCCAAGGGAGGGGGCGACGGCAGCGCGCGCGGCGGCGGGCACGGGCACGGGCGCAGGCGAGCGTCTGGCGAAAGTGATAGAATAGAAAGAGAGAAGAAAGAGGAAGCCCCGTCGCGTTCTTGTACCGGGAACTGACGCGCCGTGGGCCATGGTGCGGCGTAGCCGCGCCAAGATCTGTGGCGCGGCAACGCCTGCCACGTCACCGGTCCGCGCCCGGGCAATCGCCACGTCACCGATCCTGCCGCGCCACAATGCATGGCGCGGCAGCGTTGTTTGGCCGCACCGTGGCAATAGACGCGGTCAAAAGTGTTAGATTTGAAAATAAAAAAAATACAATGTCAGATTTAAAAATAGTTGAAAAAAGTGTCAAAATTTTTTTTTGTAGATCAACCAAGTCGCCGAGGGCGCACGCCGAATCGAATCTACTCTCGCAGCCCAGCAGACGAGAATGGGGGCCGGAAGTCCAACTCGCAGCATCAATCCGGCGTATCGAAGCAGATGACACTGCGGCAGCTATTTATCTCGTAGATAGAGTAGCGTTTATTAGTGCTGTAGCTATAACTTGAAAAGGTGCAGCGGCTACGGCTTAAAGCTATAGGATAAATCTTTATTTATATATAAAATTCTATTAGTACTTAGTAGTAGGCATTCACCTCTAATATTATTAAAAAAATTCAATTGCCAAAGGGCCATGATCCACCATGGCCTACACATAGCTGTGTCACGCCACTGATTACAGTGGTACCACACAATTCTAATAAATTAATTAATTAATAAAGCTATTACTATAGTGTAGCTGGACCAAAGGTATTATATTGAAACTTAGAATCCACTGTTATGTTTAAGTTATGCCACAGTTGACTATAGGAATTGTTCATGTGACATTGTGGATGCGTGAAATGACAATAAAGACGTTGAGGATACCAATTTGGATGGTGATTAAGAATGATAGAATCATAAATATTGTCCTTGACACTGATATATGAGAACCAATGTCAATCTATATTGATATGTATTTTTTTATATTTAATTCATTTATGTTTTTGTGTGTGTTTTGTACAATGAAATGTAATGCTTAACTAAAGACGTCAAACTTTTTAAGCAAACTTGACCTTGGTGTTGATTTATGCTCCGAAATTTTGACAAATTTTAAACTTTCACTATCAAAACTTAGTGTCTACTATATCTGCTACCGTGGAATTTATGTTATGCTTTTTCTATACTTGTTCTACCTGTCATTTATTTTTGTATTTATTTGTACTATATGTTTTCATAGAAACCATTACATCTTGATTTCTAGGATCAATGTGACAGTTTTCAACCCTTAAGAGAGAAAGAGATGATTTTCTTGCTTCATTTATAGTAACATATATGGGAATCAGACTAATATTTTTTTAACTTTAATTTTAAATTCAACGATATTTTTAAGATGTTAATTTTAAGAATAAAGATTACAAGAACTGATATTATCATCGTAAAAATATGGTTCCAATCGTGGCTTGATGAGTTTTGATTGTAATTTTCCCGTGAACTTTATTGGTTTTGATGTTTTGTGTCTTTCTTGAAGATGGGTTTGTTGAAAGCATTTCAATATATTGTATATGGCAATATTACTTGATTACGATTCGAACACATGTATTGACCTTTATTATATCTGGACATAACATTGTTTAATTTAGAAACACTACACATAAGAAGAAAAATATTTAAAATTAGATTGTATGTGGCATCAATTTACTTTGAACTGTAGACTATTAAATCATCGTAAAATCTAACAGTGTATATATTTTTATTAATCTCATAATTTTGAAACTCTTTCGGTGAACGTGGGTTTTCTTTTAACACTATTTTATATGCTTAATAGACTTATGCTAGAAAATTCTGATAAAAATTATTTCAGTGCACCATTCTGTGTGGCCTGAAAAAACTTATGGCGTAGACAATGTTCTAAAGTGCCTAAAAAACAAGGGGCTACCATCTCTTGGTAACCACCAAATTTTATTTTTCTCCTAATTCAGAAATTTGCGAATCTAATTGACATTATATTCAAATTAAACGTTGGACTTTCAAATGAGCTCTAGAGAACTCAGGTTAGACCCAAAGAGTTCTCGAATCTCAAGTGAGGTTGAGGCGCTTCCAATAAAGCATGAAACATTTCATCGATATTTATAGAGTTCTTAATTAAGATCGGAGCTTTCACATTATCGGCTTGACACCCAAAGGACCCAAAATGAATTGAACTTCACTGTCCACTCAGGGCCGCTCATCCTCGGGTTGGGCCGAGCCACACGTTTGGGCCTTGGCGAGCCTGCTTCTTCGGGCGCCAGCTTCTGTTCCCCGTCTGTAGTCGGCTCAGCATCGGTGTTGCTGACACCCGAGCAGAGTCGCCCAGTCGCAGGCTCGCAGTCGCAGCCCACAACTCCGATTCGGCTGGCGGTTCCCCTCCCAAATCCCCGCTCGGCCGCCGCGACGCCATTCAGCCATGGCGATGGTCTCCGGAGCCAAGAGGAGGAGAGAACTGGAGGAAGAACAAGAGGAAGATGAAGACCGCATCAGCCGCCTCCCTGACGGCATCCTCGGCGACATCGTCACCCTTCTCCCGACCAACGACGGCGCCCGCACGCAGGTGCTCTCCTCCCGCTGGCGCCACATCTGGCGCTTCGCTCCTCTCAACATCGATCTGGACATCAATCCCGATTACCCCCTCGGCGCCAACAACGTCACCGAAAGCGTAATCTCGCGCATTCTCTCCGCGCATCAAGGTCCCAGCCGCCGCTTCTCCATTCCGGAGCACTACCTCTACTACAGGGGCCTCCCCGTCACAAGCCTGGACGGCTGGCTCGAGTCCCCCGCCCTCGACAGACTCCAAGAGCTTGAGTTCCACTACGGCCGTCCTCATTCGTCGAATTTAGCGCCGCTGCCGCCGCCGCCTGCATCTGTACACCGCTTCTCGTCAACGCTTCGCGCTGTCAGCTTCGGGGGCTGCGGTTTTACGGATGGAAACAATGCCAGCGGGCTCCACTTTCCGGTTCTCAAGCAGTTGAGCCTTGCGGATGTCAGATTCTCGGAGAGTTCTTTACGTGCCTTGCTATCTGCTAGCCCTGTCCTGCAGAGCTTGCTGCTAAAGGGCAGCATTGGCTTATCTCGCGTCCAAATTGCGTCCCCGACCCTCCGAAGCATCGGCGTGCGCTCTAATCATGGACGCGTGATTCTGCGACAAGTCATCATCGAGGATGCCCCCTGTCTAGAGAGGTTACTTTGCTTTGATTATTTGGGAATCACCATATCGGTGATCTCGGCGCCAAAATTGTTTGTTTTGGGGCCACTATCTGATCAAAGCCCAGACTCGAGCTTGGCACCACAGTTATTCAGGTATCAGTATCACCGTGCTTTCTCACTTTCATATTCATGAGGCTCTTTCTCCAAACAAAGTTCCTATGTTGACTTTGATTCTAACCTTAGTACTTTGTGCTTTACCTAGGGATCAGGCCTTGTTAGCTTGAAGATGGTGATGCACAGTGTGAAGGTCTTATCATTATCAGAGGAGCGTCTTAGTTTGGATGTGGTTATTGGATACATGAAATGTTTTCCCTACATGGAGAGGTTGTACATCCAGGTGACTTCATTTACTTCATAATTAAGAGGCCATCTACAATGTTTTTGTCACTGTTGTATCATATACATGGTCTAATGCTAGGTTGTAACTATTCTCTGTTCATTTTGCCTTTTCAGACAAAAATGGCAGGGGAGAAAAATGTGTGGTGTTGTAAGTACAGGAATCTTATTGGCACTCTTGATATTCGTCTAAAGAAAATTGTGTTGGCAGGCTATCGAGGCAACACGTCACATGTTAACTTTGCCAAGTTCTTTGTTTTGAATGCGAGAATGCTAGAGTCCATGAGGCTTGAGTTATGTATTGCAAAGCCCAGTCCCAGCAATGCATGGATTGACAAACAATATAGACTACTTCAGACAAAAAATAAGGCTTCAAGGGATATGCAGCTTGATTTTGCGTCTGATTATGGCCTCCGTCTGACGAATTCCTTTTTTCGCCCTGAGCAAGTACACGATTTGTCAACAGCTGACCCCTTTCCATGATAGGGCTGATTCTTTCTTATGACCATAATAATCTCGGTGATGACTTGGAGGTAATTCTATGCTTTTCATATCCGAGACTTGAGTCAACAGGGAAGTAATGGAACAAAATATACATTTGCATATCCCGGCAAACCAACTCCTGGTCTACTGGTTGTCCTAGTTGTTTCATTTATACATACTGATGTGATACTGGTCTGAAGTTTATCTGTGGTAAATATATGCCTTCTGTATATCCCTAATCACAACATTTTTGCTCCATTTTATTGACTGAATGGTATTCTTGGGTTGTAAATATCTGTTTTTTTTTTGAATTGTTGTCTTTATGTTTGAAATATATGGCAGTGGAAAAGAATATTGCATGGTAGGCTAAATAAGTAAATATTGTTGAGCTAGGAAATAGTAGTAAGTTTTTTTATAGCTTCCAATGGTAACCCAAGCCCTGATGGCAGTTGAATATCTTCTTGAATATAAGCTATTGATAGCACGATTCCATAAGATTCAGTAATTTTCTTTATATAAAAAAGGCAAAGGTCATTTTAACACTAAACAATCACAATTCTGCAATCTACTGTTAGCTTTTGGTGAGATTATCTTAAGGTATTTACACAATCTGATAATCTTACGGTTACGGCTGCCACTCTTCTCATCTGATGAATTAATGTCAGTTAGCTTTACTAAGATTTGGTGCTTGTTATTTCAGGCACGAGCTGCATGCTTATCAGGTTGTACCTGTGAGCAGACAAAATGGAAAAGGCACGAGTTGCATGCTTATGAGGCTGTACCTGTGGGCAGACAAAAATGGAAATCCAAGGAACTAGTTGAATGAACTCGAAGAATTAGAAATCCAGGATCAGTGAGGATCTGAAGATAAAGTTTCTTTTGTGTCATGACTGTACAATCGCGTGGCTGCTGAAAAAATTGACAGCAAGCATTGTCAAGGAACTTACAACTACCTACCTTGTAACCTGTCACCTTTCCGTTTCAAGCAATATTGGTGCCAAAATAGTCGAGATAATTTTAATATCTCTATCGAGCCAATATGAAGAAGTTATGATTCTTGTTACGATCTGTGCAGAAATGAATAGATTTAAATCTTGTTGTTTGAATCTGTGTGATTTGAATGTTGCCATATTAGTTGGTGACACGAGTACATTCCTACAAAAGTTCGATTCGGGCAATTGTTTTTGCAAAGGCCAAATTATATTTTAAGAAAATACACCCCGGTGCTCAAGCTCACAGCTCAACCAAATCAAATTAGCTGTGGGAATTAAACTCTTCACGATCGCCAATAATATTTCATTCCAGAATACTATACAACATTCAACAGTTGGAACAGAAAGGGAGTGATTGCATCTGAAAGAGAATCTCAGATGTAGCCAGATTACAGTATTCGTGAGAATCTCAAATTATTTCAGTGCATCATTCTTTGTGGCCCGAAAAAACTTATGGCGTGGACAAAGTTCTAAAGTGCCTAAAAAAACAAGGGCCTACCACTCTGGGTAGCCACCAAATTTTACTTTTCTTCTAATTCAGCAATTTGCAAATCTAAGTGAAATTATATTCAAATTAAACGTTGGACTTTCAAATGAGTTCAAAGGTTCTCAAATGAGCTCTAGAGATCTCTGGTTAGACCCAAAGAGTTATGAAATCTCAAGTGGTTGAGGCGCTTCCAATTGAGCATGAAACATTTCATCGACATTTAGAGTTCTTAATTATTATCGGAGCTTTCACATTTTCGGCTTGACACCCAAAGGACTCAAAATGAATTGAACTTCACTGTCCATCAGTTAAAAACTATAATTCCAAATAAGAAACGGAGCTGGAGCTAAGGTAAGCTATTTTGTATCGTACTGAGTTAATTCTGGCATGAGTGTGGGATGTTTTGCGATACGAGAAGCATGAAACAGGGCGCTTTCTAAAATTTGCTCTTTGTTGCGTTCAAAAGAATTGCTCTTTGAAAGAATTTCAACATGATTTATATATTTGTAAAAAAAGAGATATTAGCCATGCCAACCAAAGATTCAAAAAAAAAAAAAAGCTTCATCCACTGTGACCATGTGGGTTGTTTGGCCCGCCAGTCGCAGGCCGCAGCCCACAACTCCGATTTCGCGGGCGGTTCCCCTTCCCAAATCCCCGCCAGGCAGCCGCGCCGCCATTCAGCCATGGCGATGGTCTCCGGAGCCAAGAGGAGGAGAGGACTGGAGGAAGAAGAGGAAGAGGAAGATGAAGATGAAGAGCGCCTCGACCGCATCAGCCGCCTCCCTGACGGCGTTCTCGGCGACATCGTCGCCCTCCTCCCGACCAACGACGGCGCCCGCACGCAGGTGCTGTCCTCCCGCTGGCGCCACATCTGGCGCTCCGCTCCTCTCAACATCGATCTGGACATCAATCCCGATTACCCCCTCGGCGCCAACAACGTCACCGAAATCGTAATCTCGCGCATTCTCTCCGCGCATCAAGGCCCCTGCCGCCGCTTCTCCATCCCGGAGCACTACCTCCACTACAGGGGCCTCCCCGTCACAAGCCTGGACGGCTGGCTCGAGTCCCCCGCCCTCGACAGACTCCAAGAGCTCGAGTTCCACTACGGCCGTCCTTGTTTGTCGAAGTTAGCGCTGCCGCTGCCGCCGCCTCCTGCATCTGTACACCGCTTCTCGTCAACGCTTCGCGCTGTCAGCTTCGGGGGCTGCAGTTTTACAGATGGAAACAATGCCAGCGGTCTCCACTTTCCGGTTCTCAATCAGTTGAGCCTTTCGGATGTCAGATTCTCGGAAAGTTCTCTACGTGCCTTGCTATCTGCCTGCCCTGTCCTGCAGAGCTTGCTGCTAATGGGCTCCATTGGCTTCCCTCGCGTCCAAATTGCGTCCCAAACCCTCCGAAGCATCGGCGTGCGATCTAGTTGTGGACCCATGAATCTGCAACTGCAACATCTCATCATCGAGGATGCCCCCTGTCTAGAAAGGTTACTTTGTTTTGATTGCTTTTGCAAGGGAATCACCATATCGGTTATCTCGGCGCCAAAATTGCTTGTTTTGGGGCCACTATCTGATCAAAGCCCCAGACTCGAGCTTGGCACCACAGTTATTCAGGTATCAGTATCACCGTGTTTTCTCACTTTCATATTCATGAAGATCTTTCTCCAAACAAAGTCCCTAGGTTTGACTATGATTCTAACGTTAGTACTTTGTGCTTTACCTAGGGATCAGGCCTTGTTAGCTTGAAGATGGTGATGCACAGTGTGAAGGTCTTATCATTATCAGAGGGGCGTCTTAGTTTGGATGTGGTTATTGGATACATGAAATGTTTTCCCTACTTGGAGAGGTTGTACATCCAGGTGACTTCATTTACTTCATAATTAAGAGGCCATCTACAATGTTTTTGTCACTATTGTATCATATACATGGTCTAATGCTAGGTTGTAACTATTCTCTGTTCATTTTGCCTTTTCAGACAAAAATGGCAGGGGAGAAAAATGTGTGGTGTCGTAAGTACAGGAATCTTATTGGCACTCTTGATATTCGTCTAAAGAAAATTGTGTTGGCAGGCTATCGAGGCAACACGTCACATGTTAACTTTGCCAAGTTCTTTGTTTTGAATGCGAGAATGCTAGAGTCCATGAGGCTTGAGTTATGTATTGCAAAGCCCAGTCCCAGCAATGCATGGATTGACAAACAATATAGACTACTTCAGACAAAAAATAAGGCTTCAAGGGATATGCAGCTTGATTTTGCGTCTGATTATGGCCTCCGTCTGACGTGTTCCTTTTTTCGCCCTGAGCAAGTACACGATTTGTCAACAGCTGACCCCTTTCCGTGATATGTCTGGTTCCTTCTTATGACCATAATAACCTCTGTCCTGGCTTGGAGGTAATTCTATGCTTTTCATATCTGAGACTTGAGTCAACAGGAAGTAATAAAACAAAATCTACATTTGCATATCCTGACAAACCAAGTCCTGGTCTATTAGTTGTCTTAGGTGTTTCATTTATACATATTGATGCTGGTCTGAAGGTTATCAGTAGTAAATATATGACTTCTGTATATCCATAATCACAACATTTTGCTCCATTTTATTGACTGAATGGTATACTTGGGCTGTAAATATCTGTTTTTTTTTAAATTATTGTCTTTATGTTTGAAATATATGGCAGTGGAAAAGAATATTGCATGGTAGGCTAAATAAGTAAATATTGTTGAGCAAGGAAATAATAGTAAGTTTTTTTAGAGCTTCCAATGGTAACCCAAGCCCTGATGCCAGTTGAATATCTTCTTGAATATAAGCTATCGATAGGACGATTCCATAAGATTCAGTAATTTTCTTTATATAAAAAGGCAAAAGTCATTTTAGCACTGAACAATCACAATTCTGCAATCTACTGTTAGCTTTTGGTGACATTATCATAAGGTATTGAGGCAATCTGATAATCTTATGGCTGCCACTCTTCTTATCTGATGAACTAATATTAGTTAGCTTTACTAAGATTCGGACCTTGTTATTTCAGGCACGAGCTGCATGCTTATCAGGTTGTACCTGTGGGCAGACAAACTGGAAATCCAAGGGACTAGTTGAATGAACTCGAAGAATTAGAAATCCAGGATCAGTTTTGAGGATCTGAAGATGAAGTTTCTTTTGTTCAATGATTGTACAATCGCGTGGCTGCTGAAAAAATTGACAGTAACAATTGTGAAGGAACTAACAAGTAACAACTACCTATACCTTGTAATGATGCTGGTAGTTCGTGTAGGTCCATGTTCGCTGATCCCTTGGTGATTAGCTTCGTGGTCGGTCGTTAGTTTACGTTTACATTGCTGCAGTACTTTCTGAACCTTGTAGTTTCGTTACGTTGGTAATGAAATTCGGTTTTTACCGTGGTGGAAAAAAAAACTCGTCACCTTTCCGTTTCAAGCTATATTGGTGCCAGAATAGTCAGTATAATTCTTATATCTCTATCGAGGTAATATGAAGAAGTTATGATTCTTGTTACAATCTGTGCAGAAACGAATAGATTTAAACCTCGATGTTTGAAACTGTGAGATTTGAATGTTGCCATTTTATTTGGCGACACGAGTAAATTCCTACAAAAGTTTGATTTGGGTAATTATTTTTGCAAAAGCCAAATTATATTTTAAGAAAATACACCCCCGTGCTCAAGCTCACAGCTCAACCAAATCAAATTAGCTGTGGGAATCTTCAACTCTGCAGGAACTCCAATAATATTTCATTCCAGAATACTATACAACATTCAAAAGTTGGAACAGAAAGGGAGTGATTGCATCTGAAAGAGAATTTCAAATGTAGCCAGATTACAGTATCCGTGTTCTCTCACTGACTAGTATAGCTACCTAAACACAGAAGAAATTTTCCTTTTTTAAGGAAAAACAAGAGGGGGAAACAGTGATCTAAAACCTAATCGATCCCGCACAGGACCCACGTGCAGAAGACGTACTCACCAGCCCTTGCCAATGAGCCAGAGCCAGTCGAGCACGACGCCTGAGAAGAGGCCGCCGAGGAGGCAGACGATGAGCACGTTGCCCAGCGCGTTCTGCTCGGGGCCATTGTAGCCGTTGGGCGCCTCCATGAGCACACACACGGTGAGGTACCCGTTGGTGAGCCCCAGGAAGGAGGTTAGGAGGATCATGTACCCCTGGTCGCCGTATTTGGCCGTGAAGTAGAACGCCGGGATGAACAGGAACCGTGCCAAGACAGCCGCCATCATGACCTTCCGGGAGGTTAGCTTCAAGCACGGGATCAGCGGCACGTACCTCCCGATCAGGTCCCACACATTGTACATGGCAATCAGCACAAGTGCGTACCTGAAAATATAAGATTTCTCAGAAATCACAAGCATTTTTAGTGTTCACGAAAGAAACATCAACAGATTGGAATTCTGATTTGTAGAGCGCATCAAAGCAAGAAACTTCACCATGATCCTAGGTTGTGTTCTCCAGTGTCTTCAGACAAAAATCCTGGGAAGATTGACAGCGTCAGGACGTATATCAGGTAGATATCGATCGCGTAGTCGATGTTCTGCATGAGCAGCTCTTTAGTGGTCAGACGCTTGTATTTCTGTGGATCCTCCTCGATCTGCACGAGTCACCCACTGAACATCATGAGCATTCAGATCTCGAATGATAAAGTTGCAGCGAAACGCACAATTGTTTGGTATCTATCACAGGGGGAACGCATACTTGTCCGTGTTGTTCAGCGATGATCCCTGCAGCAGCAAGGTCGCTGGCAACAGTCTTGCTACCTTCAGCGGCTGCCTTTGCACGGTAGTACTTCACGATGGGTAGTTTGGCGAAGACGAACGTGTATAGCAGGAGGCACACCAGCTCGAACAGGCATGTGATTGAAAAGAACAGTACTGCACCAAGTAATGAAAGACATGTTATTTGACAGACAAAGATCATGATCTTCTGTGAAATTTCTAGACATGATTGGAACAGGGCCCAACGGCACATCAAAGGGAAGAAGAGAGTTATGAACAATCTTGTTGATGAGATCATTGGATCATTAAATCCTATCTGATAAAATAATCCAGGAAATGCAAGTATAAGACCTTGGTTAAAACAGATGCAGGGCCTGTTCGGCAGGACTGAAAAATACTGTTCTGACTGATTGTTGTGAGAGAAAAATACTGTTCTGGCAGGACGTGAACAGTGATTCCGTGAGTTGGCTGGCCAGCCAGCCAGCTGGCTTAAAGCCAGCCGAACACGCCCGCAAATCCATAGGTCTAGTTGACATAGCAAATAAATTCTCAAGAAAAGATACCTAAAATGCACACAGATCTAAACCGCCCATAGTATAACCTCACGCTTTTGGCATCCCGTTAAATTCCCATGTTTGCTTCAGAATCATATACTTTTATTTTGGAAGTGTCAAGATTTGTTTTCTTAAACCAATAAATAACTTAACTAAATCTGAAAATGTTTCACAAAATTCTGACTTACTAGCTCCAATGCGAAGACCATCTTTTGAGCTCTCAAAAGCTGCCTTGGTAATTAATCTCAAAGCTGATGTGAGAACCCCTGATGCAGCTAAGCCTGCCATGAAGGACTGAAAACCCAAAGTGCAATACAAGTCATGAAAACTCTGAATGACTGAAAACAGCAGCATAAATGACTGAGAAAAGACAATGTGAGATGTTACCTGAATGAACTCTGGGCACATTAAAGAAAGGTCGCCAACCAATGCGCCTTGACAATTAGCATCAGCTGTCCCAAATATGGCGCTAATTATGCATACACCAATGAAAATTCCAAGCCCACCATGTCCTTTAGTTGCAACATCCAGCTAGAGCACCAAAACGTGATTGCATGAGCTCATATGGTGGTATACTAATCTGTACTGTCCTTTTATTTTTCTTTAATGTTGTGAAGGCGATGTGCTTACAATTATCAATGCAAAGGAACCGAGGAAGAAAAGGGAAAATCCTGCAAGATTTCTCAATCTTGTGTTCATCTTTGCTTCATAGTATGTCATGATGAGGGTTATTCCAAAGGCAAAAGGCTGGTAGGATAGCGTGAGTACTCTTGTTGGGTGGTAATTCTGCAACAATAACATATTTGTTACAAATTTGAATGTATGGATACAACAAATACTGCAATGAATATGGGACTAACTTTATCTTCTCAGTAACCATTAAAAAATGGACTGAAATTATAATGTTTGAGAAACCATATGTTGGGGATAGCGCTCCTGAGGTTGTACTGGTGATGGACTAGAGGCCTGGGTTTGAACACGCGACGACGAACAGGCGGCGCCGTGCTCGGCGCCTAGGGTTGTGGCTAACGACAATAAGATGACGGTGAGCAGGAAGTAAGGGCCAGGTGCCCAAGGGAGACTTAAGTCTCAATCCCAGGCTGAATCGTATTAGAAGCAAACTGTTTAACTTATACAAGACTCAATAACCAACTTCCTAATCTTTAGGGAATAAATTAACTGACTAACTGACTCTAGATATGCTAACAACTTAACGACAATAGACTCATATGCCTAACTCCTTCTGCCAAAGGGTGGTGACCGCGGCCCAGCCGGCTCTTTGGCGTGGCCTTAGCCACTTGCCTTGTCGCCTGGCTTATCCCGCCGATGGTACACCTTGCCCACCATAACATCTGTCCCCTCCCCGACAAACAGCTCGTCCTCGAGCTGGAAGTCAGGAAAGCGAGTCTTGAAATCATCGATCGGTTCCCAGGTGGCTTCAGACTCATCCAGGCCGGTCCATTTGATGAGGACTAGCCAAGTGCCGCGACGCAGCTGTGCCTTGAGAGCGCGCTCAGGTTTCAGCAGCAGACGACCGTGACGAAGTGGAGGCAGTGCCGGCAGGATCGTTGGTGGCGTTCCACGCCACGGCTTGAGGACGCCGACGTGGAAAACATCATGGATCCTGGCACCATCAGGCAGCTGAAGACGATAGGCCACGGCACCAATCCGCTCCAGGACTTGGTACGGCCCAGTGAAATGTGGGCTCAGCTTGGAATGCTTGCCCGGCATCAGGGACTGTGTAGGGTGGTGGAGTAGCCGGAGTAGCACCCAATCGCCCACGGCAAACTCCACGGCGCGATGATGACCATCATAGTGACGCTTAGCATACTCCTAAGCCTGTAGGAGGCGTTCACGCACATCCTGCAAAAACGAGTCCCGATCCCAAAGAAGAGTGTCCACTGTCTCCGTCGAGGCCGAGCCTTCTGTGTATGGCAGTAGAGCAGGTGGAGGCCGGCCGAAAACCACTTCAAAAGGCGTCGCCTTGAGCGGCGAATGATAGGACGTATTGTAACAATACTCTGCCCAAGGAAGCCACTCCAACCACGCACGAGGCCGATCTCATGTAATGCAGCGTAAATACATAGCTATGGTCTTGTTGACAATCTCCGATTGGCCGTCGGTTTGTGGATGAAATGCCGTGCTCATGGGAAGCTGCACCCCGGCGCGCTTGAAGAGGTCTTTCCACACATTGCCCGTGAAGACCGGGTCCCGATCACTCACGATCGAGCGAGGGAACCCATGTAGCCGAACGATGGCCTTGAAGAACGCCTTGGCAACCGATGCTGCAGTGTACGGGTGACTGAGCGCAATGAAGTGCGCATGCTTCGAGAAACGGTCCACCACTGTGAGAACCACGCTCTTTCCATTGACGCGAGGCAGCCCCTCCACGAAATCCATAGCAATGTCCGACCAAACCGAAGAGGGTACCTCTAATGGTTGCAGCAGTCCGGCGGGGTGGAGGGACTCAGTTTTGTTGCGCTGGCACACAGCACAGGCACGCACAAAGTCCTCCACCAGCCGGCGATCATGGTCGACGAGGAAGTGTTGATGGAGGCGCTGCAGGGTCTTTTGTATGCCTTCGTGCCCAACCGAGTGGGAGAGCTCGATCACCGTAGGTACCAATGGGGACGTCGCGGGCACAAAGACTTGGGTGCCCCGGAGCACCAAGCCGTCCACCACTCGCCACGGATCGCCGCGGTCAGCGACCACCGTGTCGTGGAATGCCCGGAGGTTGGGGTCGTCTTGGAGCTCTTGCCGAAGCACGTCATAGAGCTGAAACGACGAACCACTGAGCGCGCCCAGAACTGCGTCGGGCGCGTCACGAGCGGCCACTTCATCACCGCGACGTGATAGCGCGTCGGCGACAGTGTTGAGGCGCCCCGACCTGTACTCCACGCTGAAATCAAAACCGAAAAGCTTGCTTACCCACTGATGTTGCGGCACCGTGGACAGCCGTTGATCGAGCAAAAACTTGAGGGCGAAGTGGTCGGTGCGGACGGTGAAGTGGCGCCCCCCATAGATATGGGCGCCAGTGACGCACGGCTTGGACCAAGCCGATGAGTTCCCGCTCATAAGTTGCCAGCTTCATGTGCCGCGCGGCGAAGGGCCGGCTGAAAAACATGAGCGCGCCATCTCCCTGATGTAGGACCGCGCCAAACCCGGAGCCCGAGGCATCGCAATCCACCAAGAACGGCTGATCAAATGCCGGTAACTGCAGAACGGGCGCCGTCGATAGTGCCTGCTTGAGGGCGACGAAAGCAGCAGTAGCCTCCTCGGTCCATGTGAACCCATCGTTCTTCAGCAGCTTGGTGAGAGGAGCAGCCACAGCGGCGTACCCTTGGATGAAGCGGCGGTAGTAACCTGCTAACCCAAGGAACCCGCGCAGGCCGCGAGGTGCGCGAGGCTGCGGCCAGGATGTGACGGCCGCCACCTTATCTTGATCCATGGCGACTCCGGCTGCTGAGATGACATGGCCGAGATAGGCCACCGTCGGTTGAGCGAAGGAGCACTTAGAAAGCTTAAGCCGGAGTTGATTAGCCCGAAGCGCCGAGAGGACTGCATTGAGATGCTGCAGGTGCGAGGACCAATTGGGGCTGTATATAAGTATATCATCAAAGAACACGAGTACAAACTTGCGGAGGAACGGCCGAAGGACTGAGTTCATCAAGCTCTGAAAGGTGGCCGGTGCGTTTGTCAAGCCGAAAGGCATAACCAGAAACTCGAAGTGGCCCTCATGAGTGCGGAACGCGGTCTTCTCAATGTCATCGACGTGCATACGCACTTGGTGATACCCCGAGCGGAGATCGAGCTTCGTGAAATAGCGAGCGCCCTTGAGTTCATCGAGCAGCTCCTCGACCACAGGGATGGGAAATTTATCCTTGACTATCTGTTGGTTGAGTGCGCAGTAATCAACACAGAACCACCACGACCCATTGAAAGGTCCTAATGGCTAGAGGGGGGGTGAATAGCCTAATAAAAATTTCTACAACAACACTTAACCACATGGTTAGACAATTATGAGGCGAAGCTAGTGTTGCGCTAGCCTACTCAAAAATGCAAGCCACCTACCACAATTCTAGTTTAGATAGTGTCAATTCACACAAGAGCAATGACACTACCCTATGTTAGTGTGCTCTCAAAGGCTAACTAAAGAGCCACACCAACCAAGCATGCAAGCTCTCACAACTAGCTACACTAAAGAGCTTGTCAACTAGTTTATTGTAAAAAGTAAAGAGAGTGATCAAGAGGGTTATACCGCCGTGTAGATGAATGAACCAATCAATCACGAAGATGAATAACAATGATGACTAATCACCTCGGAATCAATGATGAACACAATGATTTTTACCGAGGTTCACTTGCTTGCCGAACAAGCTAGTCCTCGTTGTGGCGATTCACTCACTTGGAGGTTCACGCGCTGATTGGCATCACTCGCCAAACCCTCAATAGGGTGCCGCACAACCAACACAAGATGAGGATCACACAAGCCACAAGCAATTTACTAGAGTATCTTTTGGCGCTCCGTCGGGGAAAGGTCAAGAACCCCTCACAATCACCACGATCGGAGTCGGAGACAATCACCTCCTCCACTCAACGATCCTTGCTGCTCCAAGCCGTCTAGGTGGCGGCAACCACCAAGAGTAACAAGCGAAATCCATGCGAAACACAATCACCAAGTGCCTCTAGATGCAATCACTCAAGCAATGCACTTGGATTCACTCCCAATCTCACTATGATGATGAATCAATGATGTAGATGAGTGGGAGTCCTTTGGCTAGGCTCACAAGCTTGCTATGTCAATGAAAATGTGCAAGAGTTGTCCCTTGAGCCGGCCATGGGGCTATAAATAGAGCCCCCATCAAATAGAGCCGTTATACCCCTTCACCGGGCAAAAGCGCGTTACGACCGGACGCTCGCGTCGATCGACCGACCGACGATGCGGCTCTCTGGCGTCCGGTCGCTCGATGTCACCCACGTGTCGAGACTCAACGGTCATCAGCCTCGACCGGACGCCGCTTTGCTCCGAATCGACCGGACGCCGCAAAGCCCTCAAGTCCGGGTCGTTTACAGATAGCTCCGGGCATGACCGGACGCTGTCTGAGAAATCCGACCGACGCCGACTGAAGCCCCAGCGTCCGGTCGTTTCAGAAAGCCCCGAGGCATGTTTTTTCGACGGACGCGTCCGTCCACATTTAACCGGACGCATACCGGACGTCCGGTGCTCAACCCTATCCATCATGGTTGCCGACGACATTTCGGACCGGACGCAGCCTTTTCAGCAGCGTCGAATTCATTGAGTGACTCCAAATATCGGTCGAGAGACCGACGCCAAAGATCATTTCGATCAACTCCATTTCAACTCTAACTTCTTCACCCTTGCTCAAGTGTACCAACCACCAAGAATTTTGCATCCGGCGCAATAGAAAATAGACATTTCATTTTTCCAAAAGCGCCGAATCCAAACCCATCTCAACCCTACAAACACCTTGTGCACATGTGTTAGCATATTTTCACAAATATTATCAAGGGTGTTAGCACTCCACTAGATCCTAAATGCATATGCAATGAGTTAGAGCATCTAGTGGCACTTTTATAACCGTATTCCGATACGAGTTTCACCCCTCTTAATAGTACGGCTATCAAACCTAAATGTGATCACACTCTCTAAGTGTCTTGATCACCAAAACAAAATAGCTCCTATGGTTTATACCTTTGCCTTGAGCTTTTTGTTTTTCTCTTTCTTCTCTTCAAGTGTAAGCCCTTGATCATCTCCATGCTATCACCATTGTCATGTTATGATCTTCATTTGCTTCTCTACTTGAAGTGTGCTACCTATCTCATAATCACTTGATGAACTAGGTTAGCACTTAGGGTTTCATCAATTCACCAAAACCAAACTAGAGCTTTCACCCATCATGCTTCTTCACCAAGAGCACCGGGGCCGAGAACGCCGACGTGCTAGGCCGGATGACGCCCTATTGCAACATGGCTGCACATTGAGCCTCCAATTTGTCCTTCTGCAGCTACGGGTACCTGTAGGGGCGCACTGCTACCGGAGCCGTGTTAGGCAGCAAATGTATTCGGTGATCACACGGCCGCGCCGGTGGCAGTCCTTGTGGTGCAGCAAAGACATCATCGTAGGAGGCCAGCAAAGTGTCCAGAAGCGGCTTGTCAGCGTCCATGGCGTAGAGATGAGTGGACTGGACGTCATACCTTGGCGAACCAATGCCCCGCCAGAAAACACGGTGCCCTCCACGGGTGAATGCCATGCACAAGTCATCAAAATCCCATAAGATCGGTCCCAATGTCCGCAAGAAGGTGATTCCGAGGACCATGTCCCATCTGTCAAGCGGGATCGTGTAGCAATCCACGGCGAATGCCTCGTCCGCGATGCGAATGCCCACGTCACGGGCCAGACCACGGCAGTCCAAGCGGTCGCCATTCGCGACTGTGACGCCCGCGCCCGGGCACGGCTGGAAGCGGATACCGGCACGGCGCGCCACCGCGCTACTGATGAAATTATGGGTGGATCCTGAGTCCACCAACGCAATGCACTGCTCGCCACCGACTAGCACGTAGACCTACATCGTGGTGGCAGTTGGAATGCCCGCGATAGCCGCCAAAGAGATGGTGGGTTGTGCTGGTGCAGCGGCGGCGTCAGGCTCCTCGTCCTCAGAATCCGAATCAGGCTCCTCCACAATGTAGTCAGCGGCCTCCAGGTAGAATAGGCGAGCACACTTGTGCCCTTGGACGTATGGTTCGTCACAATTATAACACAGACCCTGCTTCCGGTGTTCTGCCATCTCCGTGGGCGTCAAGTAACGGAAGGGGAGGCTTGAAGACTGGCCGGTCGGCATGGACGATGATGACGAGCTCCCAAGCTGTCCTGGTGAGGTGCGGCGCGAAGGACGCTGAGGCGCGACTGGTAGCGCAGGTGCCTTGGCGGTGTTCTGGCGCTCAAAGGCCCGGGCCAACCACATCGCACGGTAAAGATCTGCAGGCTCATGGAGTTCTACGTCCACCCGGATGTGTTCCGGCAGTCCACCGGTGAAGAGCTGGGCCTGCTGGAGCGGATCTAATCGACCTGCGTGTGCCAGGCGGGCCTGGAACACCGACATGTAGGCGTCCACCGTGGACGTAAATGGTAGTCGGGCGAGGTCGGCCAGATGGTTGGTCGACAAAGCCGGACCGAAGCGTTGGTGGCACAGAAGCCTGAAGTTGGCCCACGATGGTCGTCCCGTGTCGCGCTCGAGGATGTAATACCACTGCTAAGTGTCCCCGGTCATGTGGAACGAGGCCAACCAAACTTTGTCGACCTCCCTGGTGAGCTGGCCACGGAAAAAGGATTCACACCGGTTGAGCCAGCCCAGGGGGTCCTCTTTGCCGTCATAGAGAGGGAACGAGAGCTTGTGGAACTTGGGAACGCCATAGCCTTCATTGTGATCGTCCAGGTGGTGCAGCGACTGGGATCGGTTGGCGCGTTCATGGTGCACCACCGTTGAAGATGTCGTGACTGCGGTCCCCATGATAGATGAAAATGTAGGCAGCGGGGAGGGCGAGTGCGGGAAGGGGATGCTCTGGATCGGCAGCCCGATCGACGGAGGTTGCGGGGTGGAGCCGATGGATGAATCTATGGCCGAATCTGCGGCCGGCTGTGCTGACGAAGAACCCGCTGCTGTCGCTGCCGATGCCGGAAGGGAGGGCGTGGGCATGATCTCCGAGATGACCGGCCCGGGATGCCCCCATACCCCGGCATGCCGTAGGGCAGGGCCTGCGGCGCAGAGTAGGGAAGACCCATGAACTGTGTCGCGGCGCCTTCGACGGACGAGAGCCGGAGCGACATCTCCCCCATCCGGCGCTGCATGCTATTGACCAGCGTGGTGAGTTGGTGCTGCCCGTGCATGAGGATCGCCAGGGACTCCTCAATGGTCGGCTGCGAGGGAGCAGGAATCCCGGACGATGACACTGAAGCCGTCGTGGCCGCCGGGGTCAACGTGCCCGTGGATGGAACCGGCGGTGGCGGTGCAGCCGTGGATGGCACCGCGATGGAAACGGAAGCACCCGAGATCGACATGAACGCTGATACCAGATTGTTGGGGATAGCGCTCCTGAGGTTGTACTGGTGATGAACTGGAGGCCTGGGCTTGAACACGCGACGACGAACGGGCGGCGCCGTGCTCGGCGCCTAGGGTTGTGGCTAACGACAATAAGATGACGGTGAGCAGGAAGTAAGGGCCAGGTGCCCAAGGGAGACTTAAGTCTCAATCCCAGGCTGAATCGTATTAGAAGCAAACTGTTTAACTTATACAAGACTCAATAACCAACTTCCTAATCTTTAGGGAATAAATTAACTGACTAACTGACTCTAGATATGCTAACTTAATGACAATAGACTCATATGCCTAACTCCTTCTGCCAAAGGGTGGTGACCGCGGCCCAGCCGGCTCCTTGGCGTGGCCTTAGCCACTTGCCTTGTCGCCTGGCTTATCCCGCCGATGGTACACCTTGCCCACCATAACACCATATCAGTAGAAATGCAATTAACAATATCATTGGCTAGTGAGACATTGCAATATTAACTGTTTGAATATCTGAATAGAATCAAATCCTGGTTCCATTCAGTTTATTCGACGAAACAAAGACAAATCAAGGATGCCACCCCCCATGTTTTTCAACTTTGCTGCTAGCCTGCTACTCTGCTACACTGAAACTGAACTCATTCCAATCATGTACCGGGAAGAGATGGGAGTAGTAATCTTCAATGGTGAGCATACTGTTCCACGCGAAAAGGCTTCCATTTCCCAAAAGCCAGCAGACAAGTATACCAAGGAATTTCCCCTGTCAATTTTCAGAAGCAACCTCATGAGTACAAATCAATCTGCAGCTTATACAACGCTACTTGGACCTGTATCTGAATTCGCAGAACAGATGAACAGAAGCGAAGGTACCTTGACAGGTGCCTCTGCACCTGCTACGTCCATGCTCATGGTAACTGTATATTTTCCCTACGGTGTGCCTGTAAAAGACGTAACCACTGCAGAGAGCTTCTGCTCTATAGCGAGGTCTAGGGAAGGGTGTAAGTGGCAAGCCTTACCCTCGCATGTGCAATGCGAGAAGACCACGACTGACTCAAACCCGGGACCTTCCGGTCACAGGCACGGTAAGACTCTGCCGCTTGCACCAGGCCTGCGGTGTGCCTATAAAGAAAAAAAAAGATTCAGACACGTTATTTCGATTTAGACATCAGGAATGGAAAGAACTGAGCAAACACACTTCGATTCTGCTCTAACGAGCTCAAGTCCACAGGTTAGAAAAATGAAGTATTTCCCAACTACGTATCGTAACATATCTAGTACTAGGATGATTAGATACAGACTGGTTGTCTAAAGACGCAGACTACAGAAGTAGGGATTTCCTAAACAAAATCGAACCCGATGTCCTGACCCCACGAAAGCACGAAAGAAGCCTCAACGAAAAGGGGCGGTGAACTAGGCACATCCCCACATGCGATGCGTCTTGAGCTGGGCTGGAGTTTTAGTAGGAGAAGTTTCAGACGTGCAAGCCACCCGTCGCTACTCACTGGTCACTGTTGCTACCAACCACCGAACTGGATGGAAGGAAGTACCAATAATTCACGGGACGAATCCGATACGACGCGGCCACCGCTTTTTCTATCTGCCAGAACAAGAACAAGCGCGGGCGGCCGTCGTGCGTCGTGTTCCACGCCACAAAACATTTTTATTAAACTCTGAACACACTAGTCTTCTATTAGCAGTAGATGAGCAGATCCTTCCCCTTGGACTTGGATGGAGGACGTACGGATGAAATCCACGAAGAAAAAAAAAATACCGTCGACGCAGCCAAACAGGCAGGAAGGCGCCTTAGCTAGCGACTGGCAACAGCCGAAAAATCACAAGGAGAAACTCTCCAATCGTCGGCGGCATCTCTGTCTTTCCGATGCCTTCACCAGAGAGACGGGACGGGACGGGAAAGGGAGGAAGGGTTAGCAGCAACTCACCGGCCAGCGCGGGGGCCAAGTCTCGGTGTCGTCGGCGTCGTCCGCAGCGGCGGCGGCGGCGCCCAAGAGCGGAGCGGCTGGCGGCCGCCGAGAAAGCTGGGGAATGGCAACGACCAGTCGACCGCGACCCAAGGAGTGCGGGTTAGTTAAGCGAGCGCGCGGTATCTTGATCCGACGGTGTGGTGTTTATATAGCAGTTGAGATTCTAGGCGCGGACGCAGAAGAATCTCCGGGCAACGTATGCGTTTGTTCCGTGAGGTGAGGCTGAGGCCCGGCTCAAGCTTAGCGCCTGAATTTTATATTTTTTTTGCCTTTTTTTAAAATTATTTCACAAATATGCCTACGAATGTATCATTTTAAAATCTGGACCCTTATCTCGACGTCATCGTTGGTGACACCGAGCTTACACATCTCGGCGTCATCGTTACTGGCGCCGAGGTCTTGGGCTCGACGCAGACGTGGTAGTGACTTGGCAGAGCAGCTCGGCGCCGTAGATCTTGGCGCCAAGCTTAGTGCCGAGCTTGGCGCCGTGGCCTGTCTTACGTATGGGTCCTCCCTTCCTTTCTCTCTTCCCCTCTCTCTCGCGCGCCCTGAACCAGCGCACCGCCGCCACCGCCCGTGCCCAGCCGCCCGCGCCCGTGCCCTTCCCCGCGCCGGACCCCGCGCCGGCCACCGCGCCCGCTCCATGCCGCCAACGCCCGCCGTGCCGTGCCGCCCGTGCCCGGCCTCGCCCGCCGTTGTAACACCCTCGGTGTTACACTGTACTGTTTTTGCTAAAATATTGCATGAGCATCATACTTGTGTGTAAATATGTGTAATATAGGGTATAAATCAATATACGGAACTTGAAACACTCATTTGAAACAAGAAACGAATGTTACATTTCATGTCGCTTTATATCATTTAGGGTTCTAAGTGAATTTTTATCGAACAAAAATGTTATAGAACACTTATGCGAAACTTTAATAAAGTTCATAGTACGAACTTCGTAGGCGACGATGAAATACGTGCGGTCGATGATGAGGCTCGCTAGCTAGTGTATCAAGTAGATTGGAAATGGAATTCGACGCAAAACCGGTTGAAGCTTCGGCAATTCTCGTAAGTCTAAAAATGGGTCGACGAAGCCATGTTCGATAATTTTTGTAGAACGATCGGGTTAAGTAGTGGCAAGATGTTTTGGCTTAGTTTAATAGCCCTATGTACCCTCTTGAGTATAGAATAACTGGTTTGGCGTTTGGATCATCGTGTTTGAGTTTTTGAGTTGCTTTAAAATGCATGCGGGTCACGTGTTGAGCCATGCCAGCGCTTGGGCGCGGTCACCATGACGGCCCTCGGCGCCTTCTCATTTGGGATCGCCTGTCAGCGCTCTTGCGCATGCATCGCCTTGCAGCGTGGTGCACTATTGCGCCACCACGGCCTACTACCACCCCTTGCTCGCGCTTAAGCTTATGCGACGCCACATCCATGTCATAGCGCCCCGCCCGTCGTCGCCAGCCAAGACCGGCCGTTCGCCACCACCGCCGCTTGCGGACCACACCACCGCTGCTGCCGCTACCGTTTTTCATCGCGACACGCCGCACACACACGCCACACCAACGGGCCTGGCTGCCCTGCCTCCTCCATCATGTCCGCCTGCACCCGCTGCCTGCCGTCGCGTCTGCCTACACTTTTAGCTCGTCACGCTACCTCCGAACCGGTGTCGCCGCTCACCCAAGCGTGCTCACGCGCACCGCTTGCACAGCTACTGCTCCCATTGACGCCCGCGGTTGGCCCTCGCCTTCACGATTGTGCGCTTGGACACGCCACGTTTCCCATCGCGTCGTCCAGAGAGTCACCGGCCGGCCGTGCCACGCCAAGGCCTAACTCACTGTGCCGGTCCCATCTTGCAATTGCCCATGTTTGGAGGACGAGTGAGGGTACAACGTCGTGCCTAACTTGCCCTGGGCGATTGTACGATGTCGGGCGCCAATTTAAGTTTTTGCCGTCGTCGTCGACCCCATTAAGCCAAACGCCATCGCCCCTCGAATTGGCCGTGTATAGTCCATCTCTTCCTAATTCACCGTGCACCCAACTAGCTAGGGTAGTTAGCTTCCGATTGGAGTCATCCCAACGAGCTTCCTTCCTACGGTGAGGTAATGGGGAGAGTTTTCACCTCGGTGGTCCGCCATGGTCGGCGAGGCGAGCGCTCGGCCGGGGCGATGCTCCTTGCTCTTTTGTCTCAATTGAGCACGGTTGTTGCCTCTCCGTGACTCGTTTGCCTCGCCCGTGCAGTGGCTCCACCGACGGAGCAGCAGGGTGCCGGGAACGCCTTCACCGTGGCCGGCGTGAACCAGACCAACCTCGCACAAGTGGCCAACCCGTTGCGTTCCTCGTGACTTTGTCCAGCCCATCCGTCACGTCTCTGGTGAGGCCCTCTTGCTCCTAGGATAGGCGGTTGAGCCGATTAGGGGCTAGGTCATCCTAGACGCGTTGGCTACCGCCGGTGAGCTGGCTTAGATGTCGTTCCTATGGCTAGCTCGATTGGGAGTGGTAGTGATTCAAGTAGGGCTTCAATGTGGTTGCTCTTAGCCTATAGATGGTTACCGGGTAGCAGTAGAGGCGTGGCGTTAGGTGATTTCACCGGCGTCGGGTTGCCACGGCCAGACCCCACCGCGGCGCATGGCCACGCCATCGTGCTACACCATTCTTGGCGTTTGTTACCTCTATCTGTTGCGCGTTGCACGTAGAGGCTCATGGGGTGTTGGTTGGTGCCGGAGAGGTCTGTGCTCGCCGGCGTTTGGGCTGCGAGGCCGCGACCTCTGTTAATCCGGCCAGGGACTTTGAAAAACATGAATTCGAATAGAAGCAGGGTTCTAGATGTGAAGACAGTGACTCATTTAAATAGTGCTCGGGTGAGCTTCATGAATAAGAGAAAGAACGGGGACTCGTTTGCAAAAGCGTCGCCACCAAGTGGGTCTCCCTCAGTCTTTGGGCCATTTGTCATGAGAGGGCCGTCGTGTTGTGTTGGGCCACGCAGCGGGCAGGGTCGCGGGTGGGCGAGCCAGCGTCGTGAGTTGGGCCGCGTAGTAGAATACGTTTTTCAATTCTCCAGTGAATTACAAATGTTTATTCAATATAATTTTTAGCTGAACTTTGATAAATTATAGTAAATTTTGTAGTTGGTCAAAAATAGTGAAACCAAGTTTGTTGGGTTCACAAAATACCATCTATCTGTTAGTGTAGTTAGATTACAGTTAGTTGTGGTAGTGATGAGATCATAAATCCAAACTAGAAAGCTTAGTATTATGTAGATTAATATTTGTAGGAATTTTTGTAGTAAATTGGTGATAGCTATAGCTATGAAAATTTTACAGTAGACTCGCTAGATTATTCTATACTTGCTGTAATTTTTATAGCCCTAGAGTAGATTGATAAATAGAGTAGCTATTAGCCTTGTTTTATCATATATAGCGTAAATCAGCATTAGGAGTAAGAATACCTATAGTTGCTATGATAATATATGTCATGCTTCATACTTGTTATTAGTAACAATATATAACTTAGTACTTGGGTCGGTGGCACTAGCTTAGTAGTTAAATCGATGTAGTTGAATTTTAAGAGTTGCTATTGCCGTATTACTAAGCATTGCACTATCATTTCATGCATGTAGATCATGAGTTGGTAGAGTTCGTGCCCGTGGACGAGCAGGAGTACGAGGAAGTCATTGTGGAGTACGAGGAGGAGATCCTCATGCAGGAGGGAGCCCCGGAGTCTTTTGGTGCTGACTTTGCTGACCCGTCGCCTGCCCAAGGCAAGCCCCGGTGCATAACCGCTATTTTATGATCACTGAATGTATATATGATGTGAATTTAAGTTACAGGCGTTTTATGGAGACTACATGCATAAATATATCTACCTATGAGTCCTACTAGTATAGGTCAAGTAGCTGCTATGCTCAGGATATCGGTAGCGTGAGTAACCTGCCGTTAC